ATATGTATTCAACATTTCATCATAAAATTTGAAATTAATATTCGATGTTGGGTATTTAAATTTTCACTTGAAACAACCTTCCAATTTTTACAATCTCGACAATCTATTTTTCTCATAAGAAAATAATTAACTTTTATTTTATTAAATTCATTCATATAAATAATATGTTTATTTCTTTCTTAAATAAAATATTAGTAATAATAAAATCATAAGCTAAAGTAAAATTCAATGACTAACTTTTTTATTAATCACTCCAAAATAATAGCCATCATGAATACTTCCAAAATCTTCTACCACTCTACCTATATGTCCATTTAAATATCCTCTAATAAGCATTCTTTCTTCAAGAGGTGTCATTTGTATTAATTCTTCTAGATAATTTCAATTTTTTTCTTTTGAACATATATTTGAACTTACTTGGAGAGTAAGCACTTATAACATTAAGAAGCATAGTATCAACAACAATCTTTAAAGCTATAGTTATATCTCAAATTCTATTAATTTTTATAACATTATCTTTCAAACACTTATCTATAATTATACCTACACCATTTCTAGTACGACTCCTACCTGAATACCAAAGTCTAAAATCTAAACTATCAATCTTCTTAGCCTTTTCTCCAACTTATATAGTTTCGTGAATGCATGAAATATTTATTTTCATATAAACCATAATATCTATTAATTCTATTAATTTACCTGTGAGAGTATATATATCCTAAGTTTCTACTCTAACATTAGTTTAATGAACTAACTTATTTACCCACATCCATCCATAATGTGAGAAATCTTACTTATTTAACACTATATCGAGGTGACGGAGAAGAAGAACTTGTACACTTTTCATTATATTTAGGTCATATAACATGTCTCTTTCATGGGATTTCTTAACATTGATACAATGATTCAAAGGATTGGTTCTTGGCTATCTAACGCAATCCTTCACTTTTTGCATCCATGACTTGAAACTTGATAATAACAATGTTAAACAATTTGAAAACAAAAAAGGGTTGTAGGAATACTTCATTATTTTGTTGATTTTCATGCTCTACCTTGCCCAAAATATTAGATATAATAGAAGTGGTAGTATGTTGAGGCTGTGAAATTTTCCTAAATATCTTCTAAACACTTTTAGTCAATTTAAGCTCCGTTCACATCACATCTTACCCTAAATGAAAACTCATAATTTCGATGATAGGTGCATTTTGCAATCTTCAATCTTTGGTTTGCAGATTCCCTTTAAGCATTCCAATTAAGGTTACATTCAGCTTGATCATTTGTGCATTATACTTCACCATTCACTCAAGCGCATAATATCCACCAAATTGTATGTAGCTTTGTCCATTTCTAAACCACCCTAATAAACAAGACAAATTTTAATCTCAAATGTAATCAAGAAACTTCTGACTGCATAATTGGAAACAATTTTTTCAACCGATTGCAGTCATAATTCGTTATGTCAACAAGAAATATCAGATGCTAATTTCTTGTCCATATTTTGAATTTACCTGTTTCCTCACATGTGTCTAAACCACCAAATTTGGTGTTATGAATCGAAGGATCTTCAATCAAAATGAATCAGCCAACCTAGACAACCATTTAGGTCAATTTGACTCGAATAGGTTACTTCAAGATAACTCAAGTTCCATTAGATCCAAATGGTTTACTTCAAGGTAACTCAAGTTCCATTAGATCCAAATGAAACCACGTTTAAAGGCTACATGTCAACTAAACTATAAAGATTGAATTCAGGCATCTACACAGCACTAAATTGCCACATAATTAAGAAATGCCACATCATCAAGAAGGGCCACATTAACAAGCTGCTCAAAAAGGAGCTTGAAGAAACCGGCTTTCTACCTATCCAAGGCATTGTAGGCCTCCCCTTGTTTTGCTCTCTCTTTGCTACACTTCCTAAGAGAGGTTAGCAGTTCGTTATCCTTTTCGCAATTTTTAAACTAGGCAACTACAAACTACTAGTATTTGAATTTGAAGCTTTAATTCTAGTTTGTTAATAGATTTTTTATCTTTTCATTATTATATATATATGATATGTTTGAATTTGAAGCTTTAATTCTAGTTTGTTAATAGCTTTTTTATCTTTTCATTATTATACAAACCTAAATGTAATCACACTTCAATAGAAAAGCGTCAAACGGTTCCAGACTCTTTGTAAGGGGTCCATTTTAGCCCAAGAGTTTATAAAAGAGTCAATTTAGCCCCGCTTCTCTCAACATGGAACAATTTTAGCCCATATTAAAAAAGAACGAAGACTAATCCTCTCTCTCTCTCTCTCTCTCTCACACACACACACACACGCACGCACGCACGCACACACACACATAATTTAGATTTAGATCCAATTCCATAGGAAGTTCGATCAGGAATTTCTAAAACCTCTAAAATAAGTTGATATGGGCTTAAACAATGAATCTTTTACTCCAACTTTAAGTTTAAACATAACATCCAGATCAAGAAAAGGCTCACCAAAGCACTCCATAATCCAAAAAACTTAGACACATCTTTTCTAATAGCCTTTTGTTACCTTTTTATGGTATCATGCTTCATGTGGGAATATGAAATGGTTTTATGGTCAAGTAACATAACATAAGGGGCAACTTGCCTACTAAGTAGAAATGTGTAAAAAACTGAGAATAATTAAAAATTTGAGTCATAGAAAATTTAAATTATGCCAGGTTAATAAGACAAATGTTGATGTAAACACATTTCTCACTACAAGTATCACAACTTAGCAACGAGTATTAATAAAATTTCATAGAGCATCAAAAAAATCAAAACTGCATCAAGTGCAACCAAGTATTAATTTCTTATTTATGTTGAACATAAAGAAGCTTTTTATAATCATGCTTAAATTGATGAACTTATTTGATATTAAATGAAATATTTTATAATTTCGAATATGAGGGCTGATTTCTTGTTTCCCTAGTCATTCACTAACAAATTAGTACTGAAAAAAAGTAGATATGAGGAATGAAAAGATTGTATTGAAACCAAGATGTATATACTTCCCTAAAATCCACAATAAAATAGATGAAGTTATCTTAAATAAGCATAAAGGTGAAGATATCACAAAAAAAAGGCTTTTGTGTGTGATCTAGCATAATCTTGAATGTCATCAAATCTTGTGCCAAACTGAATTTACATGATTTCCTACTTTCAGGGTAAAGAATCTAAACTATTATGAAGAAACCTAAACTCAGATTTGAGATTTTGGAATACTGGACGATTATTTTTATTATTAGAAGAGGCGAAAGAGATCATCCTAATGTGACTCAATATTGACACCAAAACAAAAAATACTTCAGGGTCAGATTCCCTGGGTGAAGTTGAGAGAGCTAGCTTAATTATGTCACAAGTCCAATATGAAGAAAAGGGAAGAACAATAAGAACAAAAGCAAAAAAAAAACCAAGGGAAGAACAATAAGAACAAAAGCAAAAAAAAAAAACCTTTTTTTTTTTTTTGTTACGTTTTAAATATATTCTAAAAAAGATTAAAAAAATGTTATAGTACTCATGCAGCATGGTTTCCCCTAACAATAGCTCAAAGATTTCTCTACTTAGTCTGGATCATTCTATAGTCTAAAATTAACTAGGCCTTTAGAATCAATTGATATACTTGTGACTTTTTCATGATAATTAGCTAGAGTTTCAGCTAGATTGCAGGTACAAATTCAAACAATTATAGAAGTTCGAATTAAAATTTTGGGCCATTTACATACATACCACCCAATTTCCATATCTTTACAAATCTAACATCTAAATTTTGCTTTTTATACTTAGCTTTTGCTTTTTATACTTAGCTAGATTGTAGGTACCAATTCAAACAATCATAGAAACAAGAATTAAATTTTAGGGGCATTTACATACATACCACCGAATTCCCATAAATTTACATAACTAACATCTAAATATTTTCTTTTACATTTAGACAAACCTAATCTTTCATATCACATAAAAATACCATCAATTTTAACTTTTAAAAAGCAAAATACCTCTTTTCAAACACAGGTAAAGCGGTATGCACGTTAAAATTGTTACGTATAGGAGTCAGATATGTAAATACAAAGGAATTTAGTGGAATGTATGTAAATCTTCCTAAATTTTTATGAGAACACATTCTTAGAAACAACACCAGAAAATACATACAAAAATATGACTAACACAGCTTTGGTTAAAATTTTTGTTAGTTGTAGAGCAAGCATCCATGGCATGCAATCCTATGAAATACAAACCTTCTTACGGGCCATAATACGCATTTGCCTTTCCTTCTCATGTAATTGTTTCTGAGCTTCTTTCCTCCTCTTATCCTTTCTCTTCTGGAAACCAGTAATAAAGTCCCTGTCAAGGAAAAATAACTCTTAGAATTTTAACAGGCACAGAAAAAACATGGATTCACACACCACATATAAGCTAAATCACCATTATTCTACTTCATACTATTGCAATGCACAGTATATTAAGGTGAAGTATGCCGTTGAGCTAAACTACTTCTCATCTTACAGACACTAGGGCTGCGCAAAACTGTTTCAACTCCAAATGAAAAAAACACAGCTTGATGCTATAAAGAATGCTCTTTTACGTACCTAACTGAGAAACAAACTCGACTAACTACATAAAATCATTCATTAAAACAAGTTAAAAAACGAATCTTACTTTCATTAAGGAGGGGGAAAAAGGAGGTAAGGAACCTTAGGTTTTTCTCGTCAAAGGCGATGGAGAGGCCTCTGTTTCGGAGAGATTTCTTGTTGATGTGGCGAGGAACCATCACCGTCGGCCTCTGCCCGACCACCACGCCTTCGTCGAACTCCTGCTCGTCATCCATCCCTGGCCACTACCGCCGCTCCAACGATGCCGATTTACCGGGAAATATCAGTATGGGGAAAATTAGGGATTTGAATTCGAGGTTAAAGAATTTGCGATGCAGTGATGCGCAATTATTCTTTGTTGATACTTTTGAACTCCGGGTTGTTTCTCTCGATAAATATTTGTGTACGTCCAGCAGGAGGGAGGATACGGGGGTTATATGGGCTTTATATCTCTTTATATCTGATGTAATCTCCTATTTCTATTTTCATATATTATAAATTATAGGTACATTACAGTGAGTATAACACAGTTATAAATCCTTAATATCATCCCTGTAACTTATAAACGTACTCAACTCCGCGTACGTTAGACGTACACAAATATTTATTATTTTTTTGGGCATTAATTTCCGCTGATATTATTAGTGTTATTTTATTATTCAAAGCACTTAAACCCGAAACAAAATGGAAGATAATTTGTCTTTTTAGAATAGGGAATACCATTTATTTATGGCCCTGAAAAAGTCGAAAAAAAAAAATGGATAGAATGTTTCAATTTTAGATCTAGTTCGGACAGGACCTGATTGATAATAAGTGTAAAACCAGCCAGCTCGAGGGTCTGTTCGAGGTAGCTTATTTTATGCGGTTGCATTTTGAAAACGCATCTGGCTTGTTTGGGTGAACTGTGTTTTGGCAGCTTATGCTTTTCAAAATGTTGAAAACTGTGTTTTTGAACCGCACTTATAGATGCGGTGGTAGTTTTCTGACTGCAATCTGGCTTTTCCAAAAAAGTAAAAATTTGTAATAGCTCTCGCACCTAACTTATCAGCATATTATTCAATAAGTTGCAGCTGCCTCTTCCCCAATCAGACCCTGAAATTTTTTTTTTGCCTCTTGAATATGATCTATCCGGCTTGAAAAATGACCTAACTTGCTCAAAAAGGAACGATCTGGCTCAAAAAAAGATCGATTCGGCTAGAACGTTTGCCCGATTCGGCTTGAAAAGATGCTTGATCTTTTCAAAATTGGACAGCTTACAAATTTTACAACTGATATCTATAAAATACAAATATTAAATTAAGTTATACAAATTAAGATTAAGGGTCTGTTTGGGGCTGTTTGGGGCAGCTGTAGTTTGGGGCAGCTGTAGCTTATTGAATAATCTACCGATAAGCTGATTAAAAATAATCTGTTGATAAGCTAGCTGCGGTGGCTATTACAATTTTTTATTATTTTGGAAAAGCCAAACCATAGCTAGAAAGCTGCCACCACCACCGCACCTAGATATGTGCAGTGTGAAAACGCTGTTTTCAACATCTGGAAAACACATAAGTTGTCAAAACACAGTTTACCCAAACAGCAGTTTACCCAAACAGGCAAACACATTTAACCCAAACAGGCAAGGTGCGTTTTCAAAACGCCACCGCACCAAATAAGCTGACCCAAACGGGCCCTAAAGCTCAAAAAAAACACCCAAAACATAAATAATACAATTTTTTTTTATTCAAAAAGTGTACGGAATTTAGAAATTACAAAATTACAACTTATATGGCCAAAAATATAAGATTGTACAAATCACAAAATTACAATTGTTTACTATAAAATACTTGAATTAAATTAAACACAACATCAAAATTTTGAAATCTTGATGTCTTTTGGTTGGTCGATAGGAATACTAGGTCCAAAGTTATCAGGCTAGGTGGTGTGACTTGAAAGTATGAATTTAACTATGTATTATTGTCTTACAAATGACAATACACTTCTATACCAAGATTCTAGATAATCCGTTTTGTCTCTACGGCTTACTTGCATAATTACTCCACCAAAAATACAATTAAATGCACAAAACATCCAACCAAATCACCAAATAAGATATAAGTGTAGCACCCATTTATTATTACAATGCAAAAATATGAGAAAAAAATAGCAAAAAAGCATACCAATACTCAATATGTGAGCATATAGTTGTTGATGCTAAAATAAAAGGAACAAGTGTCCTTCATTGTCAACAATACAATAATATATTAACAAGAGAAGAAAAAAATCATGATCAGCAGTCAGAACAAGGGAAAAAAATTACGTACGTCAATCGTACGCAGAGATGTGTACGTAATAGGGTACACGTGCGTTATACGGGGGTTACAGGAGAGTTACAAGTGTGTTATAACTTCCTTGTAACTTTCGTATAACTCACCTGTAACTCGCGTTTTTATTTTATCTATTGGGGTTACAAGATTACAGTGGGGTTACACGGGAAGTACAATGGGGTTATAACCCCTTGTAATCCCCGTGTAACCCCTGTATAACCCCCGTGTACCATTTTACGTACGTAACTCCTAACCCCCGTGTACCATTTTACGTACGTAACTCCTGCGTACGTTTGACGTACGTTCAACTATCATTATGTTTCAGTTAAAACCGTTATTTTTTCGTGCTAGACTTATGGCTTAGTTATTTATCAAGTACTGATATTTTAAATTGGGGCTGAAAATGTCGAAATATTTCAGCCCATATTAGAGGAGTCCGGAGATCAAATTGAAATTTTTATATACTATGGGACTAAATTGACCCACTGCAAAGAGTCAAAAGACTATTTTGACACTTTTCTTGTTATTTATTTATGCTACACTTTGATTACTAAATGATGTTCATGTGCAGTGAGATCAAGGAGAGGATAAAGAAGACCAAGGATGAAAAGAAAGCTAAAAAAGCTGAGGTTTTGGCCAAAACTGTGAAGACACAAACAAAGAGCAACATCCAGAAGGGCCCTAAAGGACCTAAACTTGGCGGTGGTGGTGGGAAGCGCTGAAATTTTTCTTATACGCTTTACCTATCTTCTTTTTTTTTATTATTAAGTTTATGTAACGAGACTCCATATTGGCAGTTTTTTAGTCCATGGTGAACATTTTCCACCACACTGAACTATTAATTTATGAATTATGTCCTTTAACCAAACTTCTTTTAAGTATGACTCGATGTCAGACTTCTGTGAAAGTAAGAAGCCCAGTTGAATAAATGAAATTATATAATTAAGTCAAATCATCAAGTGAATTATTACTACATCGTGTTATAATTGGTGCATCAACTTGAGAGTTAGAGGTAGAGGTTTCTCTAACTCTTTATCAACATATTGTCTATCAACAATATAATAAAAATATATCTCAATGTTTTTTTATTTCGAGATGTCTTTTTTTTCATTAAGAATATCAGCGTCATAAATTTGAGTGTAGTAATAGCCGATGTGAATAATTTCATTATAGGATCCAAAATATAAGCAATTGAGAATAACATAAAATAACTTAGGTAGTTGATCAAATACTTATCAAATTTTGACTTCATGATCGTTGTCATGTTTGATATAAAAAAAGTATGAGATAAATATTTTCTATCCAATATTTTTTAATGAGTATTAAATTTGGAAAAAATTATTTGTTGTAGGATAACTTGAACATGAAAAAATCTTAGTTATTCCATAGAAAATATGAAGCAATTCTTTGATCTTAGCAAACAGATTTTCAATCAATGTTAGATGATAATCATGCATAATTAAGTTTTCGCAAAATATATTCAATAAAGACAACTTTATAATAAAATACAGAGTCTAGCATTTTGTATGCAGAATCATGCATAATTAAGATCTCGCAAAATATATTCAAGAAAAACAACTTTATAATAAAATGCAGAGTCTAGCATTTTGTATGCAAAGTTTCAATATGTTGGCATATCAATACATAATAATTTTCTTATAGACAAACCAATCTGTCTTGCAATCACACCAAATTTATGCAAGCTACTCGGGAATCGCTTTGTAAATATGATTGTATCTTTAATCTTTTCAATCATCTTACCAATTTCTTTCAACCCATCTAGAACCATCAAGATTAAAATATCGGCGACATAACGAACATGAAAAAAAATCAACCGTAATGAGAAAAACAAACCTTCTGGAAATAATACTTCAAATTTCTAGCAATCAAATCATTGGATGGTGCATTATCCCAAATAATGGTGATGATTTTATTCTGTAAAACTCAATGCAATAAACATTCAAAAATTACTTTAGATATTGCAACCCAGCTATGTAGAGAATCTAAATCATTAAAACTAAATATCCTAGAATTAGGATTGTGAGTGTGTCGATCTAGGGGTAGCTTGAAATCAGATCGAAAAAAAATTATGGATAAAAATTGAAAATCTGATCGAATGTTTCAACTTTCAATCCCGCTTGGATCGGAATCGATCTATTATGAGCCAGCTCAAATTTATATTTTTGGCTCGTGAGTTTGATCGATATGGCTTGAATAGATTCAATCCGTGTCAAAAATGATCGATACAACTCGAAAAAGGATCGATACAGTTTGAACATCGCTCAAAAAAATGCTCGATCTGACTCAAAATTTGGCAAATTATAAATTTACAATTGATAACATAAAATTACAAAAAAATTAAGTAAAAGTGATATAAAGCAAGATTTGAACTAAAAAACACTCAAAGCATAAATAGCACCAATTTTTTTTTATTGAGATTATAAGGAGTTTACAAATTACAAAATTTACAACTTACATGGTCAAAAATATAAGATCTGTACAAATTATAAATTACAAATTTACAATTCATAACTATTAAATAAACAAATTAATTAAATACAATGTAAAATATTGAAATCTTGATGTCTTTCATCCTCTAAAGTAAATTCCTTCAATAATACACAAAAGTTGAACTTAAAGAATGATTATATATGGATCCTGGGAAGTGGCATATGCCATACCACATAGGACATACCTTACACTTGTGCAGGAAGAAATAGAAACAAAAAAAAAACTTTTGCATTCATTAAAACTAGATAAATACAATGCTCAATTTTTCAGTTCAGATAAAACAGTCAGCTTCACAAATGATAGCACTGTCCAAGTCATTTTCAAATTCATTTTATAGGAAGTTCAAGTCCAAGTCCAAGAAGGCAAGAAATAAATATGTAAACATTGAGAAATATCCACTAGAAATTTCAAAAAATCATATAATAACAAAATTAAAGTTTTAAAAAAATGAACTCATTTTGACTTCAAATAAAGTGCACTCTTGTTAACAACTTGTGGAATTATCCCATCTTTATTAGCTAGCAACACCTCTCTTAAACCCGAACACAATTGACAAAGGAAAAGTAATAGTATCAGTATTATCAAAAAAATA